TGATATTTACTTTTGTTACATATTTACTTTTATTTGATACCTATTTTTGTTAAATATTTACTTCTATTTGATACTTACTTTTGTTACATATTTACTTCTATTTAATAATTAATATTTTTACATATGTAATTCTATTTGATATTTACTTCGGTTAAATGTTTACTTCGATTTGATACTTACTTTTGTTACATATTTACTTCTAATTGATACATACTTTTGTTAGATATTTACTTCGATTTGATACTTCCTTTGTTAATATTAACTTTTATTTGATACTTACTTTTGTTACATATATACTTCTCATTGATACTTACTTTTGTTAAATGGTTACTTATTTTTGTTACATATTTACTTCTATTTGATACTTACTTTTGCTACATATTTAATTCTATTTCATACTTATTATAGTTACATATTTTCTTCTATTTGATACTTACTTTTGTTAATATTTACTTCTATTTGATAATTACTTTTCTTACATATTTACTTCTATTTGATACTTTGATTCCATTTTTTTTTTTTGCATACTTACACATTAAAACCCGGCTAAAAGCAAAATCACAGTGGACTGAGCACATCCCATGGCATATTTCAGGCACAAAAAGTTAAATTTCCATAACTTGGACAATTATCATCACCATCGTTATTTCCAAGATGACCAAAGCTTTCGATTAAAGCAGTAAATGGTTCATTTTTAGATGCATAGTTTTTAATATATTGATGGATATTCAAGTTACAAATCAAAAACAAAAAAAAATGTAGATAATTTTTTTTCATATAAATTGATTTTGGTGTTGTTTTTTTAATAAAAAAATTATTTTTCTTAAGTATTAGCGTCCCTTCCATAAAGGAGCTTTTCATAACAATAGAGGTAAACATTGGATTTCATCATCAATATCCAATAGAGCTAAACATTGATTTCATCAAAAATCTCCAATATAGCTAAATTTTAATAACTCATTTTCAGTTAATGTCTCAGAGGATTTTAAAATGCTGCAAGAAATGTTTAAATAGCAACCTACAAGTAGCTATGAAATAAGTATTTTTAGCTTGGGAATCAAATGTTTTTTAGCTCACATTATCTCTCATTATAATTTTAAATATGAGTACATAGACCAACATATCCATGTATACATGGCATCCTTCCGTCTTCGCGAAACGATTGAGTAGCTATTTAGGACTAAACTTCGACGAGTGGCTCATTAGGCCCATCCTGGAATGACAATTTTGACTGCATATCTCGCAGGAGAATATTGATTCCTGGTTATATTTGGCCTTCCATATTGCTTTTTAATTTTAAAGGGCTTCGTTCGCGCATCTTCTGCCTTTTTTACTACTTCATAAACTGAAGTTGGCCAGCTGTAACTTTGTTTGACAATGATCTCCCATTTGTTGATTTCAATGTTGGCTTTCCTCGTGCTACTTTTACAAATGTCTATAAAATTTAGGCGTGGCCGTCCAATAAGACTTGTCCTTTCTGCCAACTCTCCATACAGCAGCATCTTTGGGATACAGCCTTCCTCCATTTTCCTTACATGGCCTATCCAGTGAAGGAGCCCCTTGCTAAGAGCGGAGAATATGCTAAACATTTTTGCACGTTCCATGACCTCTGTGTTAAGCACCTTGTCCTGCCATCGAATGAGTAAATGGGACAAAGTTTAGCCATACTTGCTGCTGGTTTTTTATCCTATTGTTTATCTCTTATTTAGACTCTTAACTAACTCCTGAAGACATTTTTCTTTGTGAGATGTTAAGGGAGCATTGTCGTCGAACAGCAGTTCACGAATCAGCAATTTTTTTACCTTGGTCCTTGCACGAAGGCGGACGATATTGAACAGCCTACCATCAGATCTGGTATGTATGTACACTCCATCTTCACAGTCCCTGAAGGCAAATTGAAGGAACATCGTTTGAGAAGAAATTGGAGAAGAACGTTGGTGCTAGTACACAACCTTGTTTTACTCCGCTGCTGACTGGGAATGCCTCAGAGACAGGGCCATTAAATGTGACTGTGCTGTGCATGATTTTCTGAAATGACTGTATGATTGTGAGCAGTCGTGGGGGACACCTATTCCTTGCAAGACACTGAACAGGCCTCTCCGACTTACCAAGTGGAATGCCTTTGTCATGAAAACAATATAAAGAGATATATGCTGTTAACGACACTTCTGCATTCGACGCATCGAGAATATCATCACTATAGTTGAGCGCCCCCTCCGGAAGCCACACTGGGACTCTGGGTAGATGCGGTTCGCCAGACTCTGCAATCGTTTAAGGGCAACACGGGCAAAAGTCTTTCCAACCAAGACAAGGAGAGAAATTCCTCGGTAGCTATTGCAATTACTTCGGTCCCCATTATGCTGTACAATGTGTTGCCATCGCTCATGTTCTCGGGAATTATCGTCGAAGTCAGTCAGAGTACTCTCAAAAGAGAGTACATAGACCTTTATGCCAATTTTTCTAGTCCTTAGTTTAACAGCCGAGTACAAACTTTACAATTTTACTCAGATATCTTTTTATAAATTCAACAGATTGTAACACTCCAACCAAAAGTCTTTTGAAGACATTTCGAAGTCTCAGGTTTACAGTTATAATTTAAATTAACTTCTTGGTCGAAATAAAATATGGGTAATTTGAATCACTAATTCGTAGCGGTTCTTGTGTGTAGATTTCATTTAATATTTAAAAATACGTAGGCTGGAGATCAAACCACATTAATACGAGGACATAAATAAATACAGATTGAATGAATTTCATTATTTGTCACTTGTACGTGGGAGTTAGTCCTTCGAAAGTCGACCATGACGGCTTGTTGCTGGGCTCAAACTGTCTGTGGGGGCGCAGATGGCTGATCAGGAAAACTCTGGCACGAAATGTTCTGGCACAGAATGTGCAGTTAATGGATGGGACAACTCCAGGCATAGAGTTAAATCGGGCTTTCCGGCGTCTTGTGTATTTTCTATCATATGTTCTAGAGAGCTCATCTACACTTCTGCAGTTTTTTTTTTTGTTTTTTTTTTTTTTTTTTTTTTTTGGTGTAATGTATTTTTAGAAATGTTAAATTATTTGGTTATTTTAGCGCGTACTAACTTGTCCTCACAATTACCTGTAAGTATTTTTTTTTTTTTTTTTTTTTTTTTTTTTTTTTTTTTTTTTTTTTTTTTTTTTTTTTTTTTTTTTTTTGTTTTTTTTTTGGTGTAATGCATTTTTAGAAATGTTAAATTATTTGATAATTTTAGCGCGTACTAACTTGTCCTCACAATTACCTGTAAGTATTTTTTTCTTTTATTATTTTATATCTCCTTTTAATTATTAATATTGTAATCTTTAAACTATCCATAAAAGTAGAATTACATTGGTATGCCATGCCGAGCTCACATACCCACCCCTTCAACCACGGTTCATTGAACGGAGCCCTCGAGTCGGACGGTGAAATGAGTGATAGAGTCACGTGTGTCAGCTAAAAAATTACTCATTTTTAACAAAATGGCAATACGAATACGTATCAAATCTAAAATTATCCCCCTTAAATTATTCATTATTTCTTTATCTTCATCAAAAAATGTCTTAAATGGGACGTTGACGATACATCCAATCCTTTCGTTTCGTAAATAAAAACCTGTTGAACAAAATATGCTGTACTACATAATACTTACTAACTTGAAGTTACTTCCTTACTGATGCAGAATTTCACATAAGAAAATATTTCAAAATTAATGCAGCCAATTTACAGAACATCTGAATCGATATTTCCACGGGACGCCAGGTGTACGCGATTGAACCCAGGTTCGAAATTATGTTGATAAAATTCATTACGTGTTATTGTACAAAATGATAGTTGTTCGTCTGTCAAGAGACACGAGTACAAGGGGAGATAATACAATCTGTTGGAAAGAAAAAAGTTCCCACCCCTCACCTAACACCGGTGCAGACAATTACGTCACGCCTCTACTAATACATTGTCGCCCGTCTTTTCAGAGTCTAACTCGCACCCCCCCCCAACCCACCCGGGCCCGATTATAAGCAGCGTATAAAAAAGTTCCCACCCCTCACCTAACACCGGTGCAGCCAATTACGTCACGCCTCTACTAATACATTGTCGCCCGTCTTTTCAGAGTCTAACTCGCACCCCCCCCCCAACCCACCCGGGCCCGATTATAAGCAGCGTATTGACTTAGCGTTGTTGAAATAATCACAGTGTTGGCCACGCGCTTAATTTGATCAATAGTTACGTTAAGCAGTACCTCAGTCAGCCATAGGCAGTACCTCAGTCAGCCATAGGCAGTATCTTTGTCAGCCATAGGCAGTATCTCAGTCAGCCATTAGAAGTATCTCAGTCAGACATAAGCAGTATCTCTGTCAGCCATTAGAAGTATCACTGTCAGAGATAAGCAGTATCTCTGTCAGCCATAAGCAGTATCTCAGTCACACATGACCAGGATCTCAGTCAGCCATAAAAATGTTCATTAGTAAATGCCCAACATTAAATCAGTAACCTTATTAAGGAGATTACAATTCTGATCATTCCTATTCTGGCCTATAAATAAACGACACATTCAAAGCAATGTTCTTTGCCTATCAAAACTCCACTATAAACATTATAGACTTTAAATAGATTTACTTGAAACTAGAACAGGAAGATTTCAGTCCTGCACCTTGGTGCGAACGCTTAAACCAAATGTGTGTCTAATAAGTGCGTGCAATTGTAATGATCATAGCATCCTGTCATCACTAGGATTCTACAAAGTAGCTTTTGCCTCTTCCAAATTCTTTAGTGGCTCGTTTCCTATTTTATATACAGTACAAAACATTTGGAACACCACTGCGACCAAATACAGTGTTACATTGCGACCGCCAATTACAGTGTTCACATTGCGATCGCCAAGTACAGTGTTCACATTGCGACCGCCAATTACAGTGTTCACATTGCGACCGCCAAGTACAGTGTTCACATTGCGACCACCAAGTACAGTGTTCACATTGCGACCACCAAGCACAGTGTTCACATTGCGACCACCAAGCACAGTGTTCAAATTGTGGCAGACAAGACTGGATCAATAATGTGCGTATTTTAAACTTGTAAGTTTAGAATTTTCAATTCCTCGCCAAAGACATATTAAACAATGACTTTATTTTACGGTCTTCTAAAAAAGACGAGCATTTTGTCTAAACTGTCCGCAACAGACTGTCCAAAACAAACAGACTGTCCACAACAGACTGTCCTCAACAGACTGTCCACAACAGACTGTCCAAAACAGACTGTCCACAACAGACTGTCAACAACAGACTGTCAACAACAGACTGTCCACAAAAGACTGTCCACAACAGACTGTCCACAACAGACTGTCCTCAACAAACTGTCCTCAACAGACTGTCTTCAACAAACTGTCCTCAACAGACTGTCCACAACAGACTGTCCAAAACAGACTGTCCACAACAGACTGTCCAAAACAGACTGTCCACAACAGACTGTCCGCCGCAACAAACCGTCCAAAACAGACTGTCCACAACAGACTGACCAAAACAGACTGTCAACAACAGACTGCCCTCAACAAACTGTCCACAACACACTTTCCACAACAGACTGTCCTCAACAAACTGTCCTCAACAGACTGTCCTCAACAAACTGTCCTCAACAGACTGTCCACAACAGACTGTCCAAAACAGACTGTCCACAACAGACTGTCCAAAACAGACTGTCCACAACAGACTGTCCGCCGCAACAAACTGTCCAAAACAGACTGTCCACAACAGACTGTCCAAAACAGACTGTCCACAACAGACTGCCCTCAACAAACTGTCCTCAACAGACTGTCCACAACAGACTGTCCAAAACAGACTGTCCACAACAGATTGTCCAAAACAGACTATCCACAACAGACTGTCCGCCGAAAAAACTGTCCAAAACAGACTGTCCACAACAGACTGTCCAAAACAGACTGTCCAAAACAGACTGTCCAAAACAGACTGTCCACAACAGACTGTCCGCCACAACAGACTGTAAAGGTTATTCAAACAGATTATCCACTTAACTATTCTAGTTTATCATCTAAACACATGCCCCGGGGGAGGGGGGGGATATTTTAGCCCCTTGTTTATTGCAATTCGAAGAGGCTGCCGCCTGCAACCCACCTGCTCCCCCCCTTCTGTGTAGACGCCCCTGAGTATTTCAGTCACATATCAGAACACAAACATCTTGTCACGTGGTGTGCGTAACTCACTGACGTTTCGGTACACCAATTGTGTGACACCTTCTCCTGTGTTGTATTATTCAGGAGTTTAAAAATGTTCACTGTATTTATGGACACAGGTCTCTGTCAATGTTTGCACGCACACAGGTCTCTGTCAATGTTTGCACGCACACAGGTCTCTCTCAATGTGTTTATGCACGCAGATCGCTGTCAATGCGTTTATGCACACAGGTCTCTCTCAATGTGTTTATGCACACAGATCGCTGTCAATGCGTTTATGCACACAGGTCTCTCTCAATGTTTGCATGCGCACAGGTCTCTGTCAATGTGTTTATGCACACAGGTCTCTGTCAATGTTTGCATGCACACAGGTCTCTGTCAATTTGTTTATGCACACAGGTCTCTGTCAATGTGTTTATGCACACAGGTCTCTGTCAATGTGTTTGTGCACACAGGTCTCTGGCAATGTGTTTATGCACACATTTGTCACTGTATTAAAGCACACGGGTGTCTTTCACTGTATTTATACACATGCTTTTGTCACAATATGAATGCAATTAGATATATCTCCCTGTAAGTATGAACACAGACATAAGTCCCTGTATGTATGCAATTAGATAAATGTCCCTGTACGTATGCAGTTAGATATATGCTCCTGTAAGTATGAACATAGTTAGTTATGTGTCCCTGTATGTTTGCAATTAGATATGTAATTTAGTTGTTTATTTTCTACCTACAGAAAATTTGAAGGCTGGCATGTGCGGCTTGAAAGCTCCGATGTCACAGTTCCTTGGTGAGACGTAGAGACGAACACTGCTACAGGCGAGGGCTCCTTTGTACCCTTCCTTATGTTGAAAAGAAGACTACGGCCACGGTTGTTTGGGATTTGGGTAACAGCCTGTGTGCGACACCGAAGTACACCACGTTACCTAGGTGAGACTTTCATAATGACCCCATCATTAATAAATATTATGTTGTTGTTGTTTTTTTGTTTGGTTTTTTTTTGTTTGTTTGTTGTTTTTTTTGTGTTTTTTTTTTTGGGGGGGGGTGGTGTTGTTTCTTTAAGGGGAGACAACTATGGCATATTGTCCATGTTAATGGAAGGGTTTTCTCCCATGATGACGGTTGTGAGACTGTTGTAAAGTGGTTATAAAAAGGTTTTTAAGTACTTTCATAATGACCCCATCATTAATAAATATTATGTTGTTGTTGTTTTTTTGTTTGGTTTTTTTTTGTTTGTTTGTTGTTTTTTTTGTGTTTTTTTTTTTTGGGGGGGGGGGGGTGTTGTTTCTATAAGGGGAGACAACTATGGCATATTGTCCATGTTAATGGAAGGGTTATCTCCCATGATGACGGTTGTGAGACTGTTGTAAAGTGGTTATAAAAAGGTTTTTAAGAAGGTTGTAAGACGGTTGTAAGAAGGTTGCAAGATGGTTGCTTTATTGTTGTTGTTTTTTAACTTTTATAATGGTTTTGAAAAGCTGAAACCTAACAAAACATGTACAAGATGCTGCAGGCAGATGAATGTCATCAATTTTGTGTTTCCCGCAGCCACAGATAGCGACACGCCATCTTTGCTCAAGAGCGTCATCCTCAGGCGTGCCAGGCTGGAGGACTATCAGAGCATCATTGCGATAGGCGACAAATACGGTGGTCGAGATTATTTCACCTCACACTTCCACGGCTACCTGGCCAACAAAAGGTGCTACCCACTGGTAGCAGAGCTGCGTGGTAAAGCGGTGAGTCGATCTGAATCAGCGGCGGCCACAGCAATTTTCCTATTTTGGAGATCTTCAGTTTGTTCCCATCTCCCCCTTTGGCAGTGACTGTTAGAAATTATTTCATACCTAGTGGATGATGCATAACTTCAAACCTATTGGCAGAAACATCAATTACATCAGTGTGAATTATGACTTTTTCTATGACATTAATAATGGGGTTTTTAGGAGCATTCGCCTGGTAATATGAATTTCACGGTTTCAGTCCTAAATGTTTAGATTTTTTTTCTTCAAATTTTCTACCCCTACTAGCAATAATAATGTTTTTATTTTGTTAATTTAAAAGTACCTTGATGGATGAAATAGATAGAGTGTAAAATAGATCAAGACAAAAACAAGTTCGTCTCGCTATCTTCATGTTCAGTTATCAAGTTGTAAACCCTTAAATAATATTTAAATTTGAACTCAAATGTTAAGTCTGTTTCTGCCGTATGTTCTACTGTATGGCTGACAAAGTTGGAGATCCACCAAGAAAGCTGGAGATCCACCAAGAAATCTGGAGATCCGCCAAGATATCTGTAGATCCACCAAGAAATCTGGAGATCCACCAAGAAATCTGTAGATCCACCAAGAAATCTGGAGATCCACCAAGAAATCTGGAGATCCACCAAGAAAGCTGGAGATCAACCAAGAAATCTGGAGATCCACCAAGATATCTGTAGATCCACCAAGAAAGCTGGAGATCAACCAAGAAATCTGGAGATCAACCAAGAAATCTGGAGATCCACCAAGATATCTGTAGATCCACCAAGAAAGCTGGAAATCCACCAAGAAATCTGGAGATCAACCAAGAAATCTGGAGATCAACCAAGAAATCTGGAGATCCACCAAGAAATCTGGAGATCCACCAAGAAAGCTGGAGATCAACCAAGAAATCTGGAGATCCACCAAGATATCTGTAGATCCACCAAGAAAGCTGGAGATCAACCAAGAAATCTGGAGATCAACCAAGAAATCTGGAGATCCACCAAGATATCTGTAGATCCACCAAGAAAGCTGGAAATCCACCAAGAAATCTGGAGATCAACCAAGAAATCTGGAGATCAACCAAGAAATCTGGAGATCCACCAAGAAATCTGGAGATCCACCAAGAAAGCTGGAGATCAACCAAGAAATCTGGAGATCCACCAAGATATCTGTAGATCCACCAAGAAAGCTGGAGATCAACCAAGAAATCTGGAGATCAACCAAGAAATCTGGAGATCCACCAAGATATCTGTAGATCCACCAAGATATCTTTAGATCCACCAAGAAAGCTGGAAATCCACCAAGAAAGCTGGAGATCAACCAAGAAAGCTGGAGATCCACCAAGAAAGCTGGAAATCCACCAAAAAGATTGGAAAAGACCGTAAACTTTCTTGAGTAATTGCCCGTCTAAAATAATCAACATGAAGTGTTTCAACAAAGTCCCAAACACAGAATATGGGGAAATGACTGTAAGAAGCCCTTTATAGCAGGAGATACGGAAAAGAAGATTAGCGTGAATTAGGTCATATGCAAAACTCTATGCCAAATATAACAAGACATGCACTGGAATAGAACTCATGCCAAATATAACAAGACATGCACTGGAATAGAACTCATGCCAAATATAACAAGACATGCACTGGTATGGAAGAGATGCCAAATATAACAAGACATGCACTGGTATGGAAGAGATGCCAAATATAACAAGACAAGCACTGGAATAGAACTCATGCCAAATATAACAAGACATGCACTGGTATGGAAGACATGCCAAATATAACAAGACAAGCACTGGAATAGAACTCATGCCAAATATAACAAGACATGCACTGTTATGGAGGAGATGCCAAATATAACAAGACATGCACTGTTATGGAGGAGATGCCAAATATAACAAGACCAGTACTGACATGGAAGACATGCCAAATATAACAAGACCAGCACTGACATGGAAGACATGCCAAATATAACAAGACCAGCACTGACATGGAAGACATGCCAAATATAACAAGACCAGCACTGGTATGGAAGACATGCCAAATATAACAAGACCAGCACTGGTATGGAAGACATGCCAAATATAACAAGACCAGCACTGGTATGGAAGACATGCCAAATATAACAAGACCAGCACTGGTATGGAAGACATGCCAAATATAACAAGACCAGCACTGGTATGGAAGACATGACAATATAACAAGACCAGCACTGACATGGAAGACATGACAATATAACAAGACCAGTACTGACATGGAGGACATGCCAAATATAAAAAGACCAGCACTGGTATGGGTCACTACCCCCTCCCTGCACCCTCTCCATTTGCCACTGACAAGAAGGTTAAAGTAATTGTTAATGGGTGATGCTCCACTTGCATTTGAAGACAAATAAGAAGAATGAACGCTTCCATATAAAAAATGAACGATGGTGGGAACTAACATGTTTGAATTTCCTCTATTCTCCCCACTGATCGGCTTCCAATAAATATGATCCGTACCATATTATGGCCACCATTTGCTAGCACACTATTTTACACAAATTTGCCACACGTGTTTGTCACACGCAATTTTACACATATATATCGAGCAAATTTCTTCACAATCATTTGTCACAATGCATTGTCACACCAATTCGTGAAAATCATTAATCAACCACAAACCTTCGTGGACAGGTTGGGTTCCACTTGAGTCAGCAGCTCGACGGAGGCCAAGCCGTGATGAAGCGTGCGGCCAGGGTCCACAGGGACTACCCCCAGCTGGACGTGCTACAGTTGATGGACCGCGAGCTTGACCGCTACGCTCGGAAGGAGCTGTCCTCTGCTCGATACGAAATGTTTTCAGTATTCAACAGGGCCTACGAAAGGGATAGGGTGGACTACCTCAAAGTCGGGTACACGGATCTCCTGACTAAGGTAGGTCACCAGGTGGGCAGAGGAGAATACTCGTTTTAAAATGCGGAGTTTTCATCTGCAACTATTTGATCGATCACATTCTGCCCATAAATCTGCCACATTCCTACATTAGATCAAACACATTCATGCCATAGCTTAATCATGTTCACCCAATAGCTCAATTTTTTTCCTCCTAAAGCTTAATCATATTCATTCCATAGCTCAATCATATTCATCCAAGACGCTCAATCATTTTCCTCTTATAGCTCAATTATATTCCACCTATAAGATCGCTGTCCCAAAACAAAGTCTTTATTATCTTCAAAAATGAATACATTAATATTAAGTGTGTTACATAAATTCATTTTAAAACATTTAAAATAAATTGTCTTTATAATTACAATTGTACTTTTTATTTATCTCTAATTCTTTGTTACTCATAAAACAATTTTATGATCCAAATTAATAGTTATAGATACCTTTTGAAAAAGTATCACCCATCAAGAAATTTGGTCTATAGTAACTTTTGCTTCAACTTTCGTTTCAGCCAATCCGCTGTCTTCACTTCAATGCCAAAGACTTCAGAAACGTCAAACGTCCTTCACAGCTGAACAGCGTCATACCGATGACGTACAACGATCTGAAGCACCTGTTTCAACACGACAGAGCCATCGAAAACCTGTTCCCGAGGAAAATGCTGTACAACTTCATGCAAGGCTTCCGTCCTCTCGAGGTCAACATCCCCCTGGTGTGGAGCAACGGTAAACTGGCGTACGCGACTACCACAGAATCAATTCCGCAGACGTCGAGACCGAATACACCCGATGGAGATAACTTAACGCGGCAGATGATAGAAAGAATCGACATGGTATCGTTCTCTCTCAACTACCTCGCCAAAATCGGACTCGTCTACTTCATCGACATCTACGCCGTGAATGGGTTCCGCTCGGTGTCGCTGAAGGACCACATACAGCGACACCTGAACACGGTGGCTAAGCTCACTTCCGGCACCGGGGTGCTGTGGCTGACCCTAACGGCCAACGTGGACGTGGAGAGGACCGCCCACTGTCTGATGGACTATGGGGTCGGGCACTTCCTGCCCACCGCCGAAGGTTCGATTCACCTGCTCAAGAGGGACATTGACAGAAGTGGCGTGACGTGATGATGTGTCCCGGGACTCTTGTGGTGGTGGGGGGGGACGGGACTCTTGTGGTGTTGTGGTGGGGGGAAAACGGGACTCTTGTGGTGGGGGGAAACGAAGAGAACAATCGCAACACCAAGGAACGACTTTTGATTTTTTTTTTAGATTTACAACAGAAAAGTTATTTCATGAAATATTGTGCAATTCTTCACAAAATCTCCGTGGATGGTGTTTAATGTAGAGTGTTAAATATTTATATTACATAGAGTGTTTAATATTTATATTGCACAGAGTGCTCAATATTTATATTAAGGGAGTGGGAGGTTGTCTTGATTAGGGTATTGGCAAGGTATGGTTAGGGTTAGTGTTAGGGTTAGTGGATTTGTTAGTAATTGTGGTTTGGGATAAGGATTGGAGAAGGTTGAAAAGTTATTAAAGTGTTTTCGGTAAGATCTGTGAATTTCATTGTTTGGTAATAATCATTTAGGGTTGCTGATAATTTTAAATGTTTTGGGGTATCATCCATCGGTCAGCCAGGGAGGAGGGAATCATCGGGATATAGAATATCATCCATCGGTCAGCCAGGGAGGAGGGAATCATCGGGATGCACTGTCTCACTTATGGCACATTTTGTCACATTTTGTCACATTTTGTCACATTTTGTCACATTTTGTCACATTTTGTCCCATATTGAAACATATTCCATTCAATAAAAACTTACATCTACAGTGTATGTGTTTTCTTGTTGGTATCCAGTATGTATTTTTCGCTGAAAAATGTTATGGAATGTATGTGAGATATGAGCACAGAGAGTAGGGGAGAGCACAGGGAGTAGGGGAGAGCACAGAGAGTAGGGGAGCACAGGGAGTAGGGGAGAGCACAGGCAGTAGGGGAGAGCACAGAGAGTAGGGGAGAGCACAGAGAGTAGGGGAGAGCACAGGCAGTAGGGGAGAGCACAGAGAGTAGGGGAGAGCACAGAGAGTAGGGGAGAGCACAGAGAGTAGGGGAGAGCACAGAGAGTAGGGGAGAGCACAGAGAGTAGGGGAGAGCACAGAGAGTAGGGGAGAGCACAGAGAGTAGGGGAGAGCACAGAGAGTAGGGGAGAGCACAGAGAGTAGGGGAGAGCACAGAGAGTAGGGGAGAGCACAGAGAGTAGGGGAGAGCACAGAGAGTAGGGGAGAGCACAGAGAGTAGGGGAGAGCACAGAGAGTAGGGGAGAGCACAGAGAGTAGGGGAGAGCACAGAGAGTAGGGGAGAGCACAGAGAGTAGGGGAGAGCACAGAGAGTAGGGGAGAGCACAGAGAGTAGGGGAGAGCACAGAGAGTAGGGGAGAGCACAGAGAGTAGGGGAGAGCACAGAGAGTAGGGGAGAGCACAGAGAGTAGGGGAGAGCACAGAGAGTAGGGGAGAGCACAGAGAGTAGGGGAGAGCACAGAGAGTAGGGGAGAGCACAGAGAGTAGGGGAGAGCACAGAGAGTAGGGGAGAGCACAGAGAGTAGGGGAGAGCACAGAGAGTAGGGGAGAGCACAGAGAGTAGGGGAGAGCACAGAGAGTAGGGGAGAGCACAGAGAGTAGGGGAGAGCACAGAGAGTAGGGGAGAGCACAGAGAGTAGGGGAGAGCACAGAGAGTAGGGGAGAGCACAGAGAGTAGGGGAGAGCACAGAGAGTAGGGGAGAGCACAGAGAGTAGGGGAGAGCACAGGGAGTAGGGGAGAGCACAGAGAGTAGGGGAGAGCACAGGGAGTAGGGGAGAGCACAGAGAGTAGGGGAGAGCACAGAGAGTAGGGGAGAGCACAGAGTGTAGGGGAGAGCACAGAGAGTGGGGGCGAGCTTGAAACCGTTTGAGAATGATTGATTAGCATTTTTTTAAAATATGTATTGTTGAAATGTACTGTTGAGGTACAAATGAGCATGCTACAGCACTTCCTTAGTAATGACAGTGTTGGTATTCGCCCCTTTTATCTTTAAAGCGTTGATCTTCACATGTCTCATGATTAGAAAAAAACAACAACGCATATTCAAGTCTTATTGAAATTCAGTTGACATTGAGATTCTCAAACGGTGGTGCGTGCACCACTAACGACACATTTGGCGTTTTAGGAGGCAGATTAGGAAGTAATAAATAGATATACATGTACAGATATCGAGTACAAAATTCATCGATTTCCAAGAAAGTTTATAAACAAATAAAACTAAACTAAAATGTCCATATACTTTGAGATCCCCTTGACATTTTAACAATAAGTATGATAACGTTGAACAATAGAAAACTTGATGGACAATTCTTTTTTTTTTTTTTTAAATTCAAATAATTTGTAAAAATGGACTTTTTGTGACGTCATTATCTCGAGACGAAAACAAAATGTCGCAACCCTGTAGTTTTCCATTAAAGTTTAAAATAAGGACTCCCTGTGAGGATGCTTTCTATACTGAGATGCCTACAATGTCTCTCTAAGGTAGGGACCCTAAATAGCTCATCAGATAATTAGCAAAGTAAAAATTATAAAGTTCTCCCATTCACATCGTTAGTAAAATGTAAGAGATAAATGTAAGCGTGTATAAGGAAATTAAAATAAGTTCTTGCCCCGACTATTGTAAATAATATGAGTTCAAAGCTCTTCAGTTTGGCAATATAGATTTTGCGAGTTCATTCGAGTTCATTCGTACCAACTTTCTTCTGCAGCTATCCATTAATTGTTTTATAAAGCTCATATATTTGAAAAATGCACTTGTTTTTTTTTAATGGTTTACAGCAGTGACTAGTATTATTATATATCATGAAAGCGGAACAACGTTAATGTAACAAAGTAATTCAGTTGACGAAGAAGACCCTTCTTTAAAAATGTGGATATAATTATTATGAAACCCACCAATATTTTTAAAGCGATGGTGGAATTTATTTGACAAAGTTTGGTCTAGATGCAACAATTTATATAGAAACTTCTATTGTAAGCCTTCGTGATCTAGCTTTGACTGTTATAAGGTAAACATGCAGAAACTTCTATTGTAAGCCTTCGTGATCTAGCTTTGACTGTTATAAGGAAAACATGCAGAAACTTATATTGTAAGCCTTCGTGTATAGCTTTGACTGCTATAATGAAAACATGTAGAGACTCCAATTATAAACTGTAAATGTGATGGCGAAACATTTGAGGCAAATCAAGCGTTTACAAACATAAGAAACATGACAATGACATCTTTAACTCCACCGAGCCAATGTCTGATGTCGGTACAATATGATTCAGACACAACTGTTGTGCTTGGCGTCTATTCAGCTTACACTGAATGCACAACATGTTATTAATTTAATTTTAACACTTGAAATCTGCTAAGGTCTAAAAGTGTTCCGTTGATGGTTTTTTATAGACCTTGCTACCCTCATAAAATGCACCCACCCTGTTCAGGGGCGTAGTTTTACTAAATAATGATTTGGGGCTAAAATCACAAACTTACGAAGAGAAAACTAAAAAGACCCTTTTCCCGGAATATTACAAAAGATATATATTGATGACTGCTTCGGGATTGCCAACATGAATACAACAAAATTAGAACGTTTTATTTGCTTAAATGGAGATTTCCATTCATCATTGAAATTTATTTCAATGATCGATTAGAGCAGTGATTCTCAGCCTTCCTGGTGCCACGACCCTGTAATACAGTTGATCGTGTCGTGGCGACCCCCCAGCCATACAATTATTTTCGTTGCTACTTCATAGCTGTAAGGATATGTGTTTTTAGATGGTCTTAGGCGACCCTTGGACAAGGGTCGCACGTCAGGTTGAGAACCGCTGGATTAGAGCACTGTCAATTGTTTTGTACATCAAAATTAACCTAAACAAGAACATAATATCCACGTCAATGTATTATAAGAAAGTAGGCAGGCACAGTTTCCTGCCATATTCATCGTCCCATACTCAATCATGTAAATAAGACTTTGTGGCAATGTTGAGGATTTTGTGGAAAAGACGGCAGAAATGTTGGATTTTTTTCTGAGGTAGGTTATATCCTGAGCCAATTTTAAACGCAGCTGTCACAACTTCAGGTATGACTTGACGGGATTCTTTTAAAGCTACTCATTCTGACTTTGTGGGTTGGTCTAAAACCCGTTTTAACTTTTCATCCCTTTAACCTTAAACCTCGTTTTCCGGTTCTCAAAAAAAAAAATGGTCCATCCTTGGGGCACACAGAATGAGATTTTCAAAAAACCTCCTCTTTTCGCTTTCCAGAGAGACAAGGAGTCTGAGAGCTTCCCCTGTTATAAGCCACCTCCCTGTTATTAAATCATATATTGGCACCAAAAGCTGCAACATAAGCCGCTGTAACAAATGGTTCTACGTGAAAGATGGTTTTACTTCCACAAGACTTAATGTGGTTTGCACCATCCTTGGTAAAATAAAAGTGAGGTAAGTCATACGTAGAAGAGACAGGTCATTAACTTGTAGACCGTTTTATAGAACACATTTACAACATCATTATAAAAAAAGCCAATTTTCCTGATTCCAAACATTACAATAGTGGAATATTAGCAATTGCAAATACTGGTATGTTGTTTGCAAGTAATACATATGCAAGTAAATACCAGATATAATTTATATGGAAATTAAGAAATTAAATTAATAATTAAACTGACTCCAAATTTTAGATAGGATTTTTTTTTTCCCAGTTTGGTTTTTAAATTTTACTTTCACCCAATATTTTTCCAATCTGCAGAGCTTTGTTTTATTTTTGGGGACTTGTTACATTTTCATTTTTTAATTTATTTTCTTTCATTTTCGGTAGGATATATATATTTGAAAATTTAATTGATGATTATTCGAATGGTTTTTGTTGTACAGAAGTAGACATTTGGCGCAAGTTTTAATTTGTATTCGATATGATAATCAATAAAGATGAACATAATATATTGTTTTATTTGCACAAAAATTTCTTGTGTCTTATTAATCTACTTGAAAGTTCTATCACACCCTAAAACTCGTATAATTAGTTTGTCCTATCCACACCCAAATCTTTATATATTATTCGCCACAAGTAAGGCAAAC